GTGGTTCCCCTGCCTACCGATACACTCAGCCTGCTACTGCTACCGCCACTGCCTACAGTGACAGGTAAGACACACACCGCTGCCTGCACACAACTGACAACTCTTCCTTACCAGGCCCTCCGGCGGGGCCCTTAACACCCACCCACCTCCCCCGCCGAGGCGGCCTCGTTCTCTCTCAACCTTTACTCCTCTGAGGTCAAACTCTCTCCCTTCGTCACGAGCAGAGGCAGGCGCACGCAAAAAAAAAAAAGCCAGCCTGATTTATTAGCCTAATTCCCCTTGCCAGTGGTGATGGGGAATATCACGGTGCCCAGTGCAGTAATTGGCAAATTAAATCAAATGAGATGTCACTGCAAATGTAATAGTGAAACGCATCCATGGCGGAGCAACTGTAACTGCAGAATGAAGTGGGATAGACCTGACAGTTCCTCAGAGATGAGACAAAAGCCTGTTTGGCAGGGCGACCAGAGGAAGTCGTCTTGGCTGATTCTGATTTTGATTTCCTTTTCTTTCTTTCTTTTTTCTCTCTCTCTCTCTCTCTTGTCAATTGTGAGTGTAAGCTTATTGCAGATGGCACGCAATCAAGAATAAAGCAAATTCGGAGCCTTGATGTGATTGTAAAACATTCGCATGACACGAAAGCATTTCTGCTCATGACTGTTAATGCCAAATAATGATCGTAATGCTGTCATCCGACATGTAACAACTGATATTGTGCAGACATAACTAGATGAAGCAACACTTGATTATCATGTCATGTTAGCAATGCTGTCATAATCTGTCAACAGTGTCCCTGCATGCCTCTTGATAAGTTGTGTGCTGTGAATCTCATCCGACCGGTTGTGAGTGGTGCTCATCATCATTACATCATGTTTATGTAATCATCACGGGAGCGTTTGTGCGTGCGTAGATCCCGGTGTCCACGGTAAAGGCGGATCACCCCATGCGAATGGGGACCAAACGCACCCGAGCGCACTTTCTGATGTCTGCCGGCCGTGAGCTGCATGTCGTAGTGTTTGTAATTGCTGCCAGGCTTGAGATCAGTGTGGTTTCATGAACGGTTCAATAACCACATGTGTCCTCCTCACACGCAGGGACTTCTCTGGATAAATACAGTAGACTGTCCTCAGAGATTAAAGTCAGACCGTCCTAAGAAACCACGGTATTGATTCCAAGGGCCCTTGTTGCTTTTCAGTGGCTTCTTGTTATGAGAAATCTTTTATGGTATAGCGGTAATCTGATTTTCTGTTGGTTTGATTATTCTCGGCGTAGGCAATCATGTAATGATCCTATGCACTAGCTTGTCCAAGTTAAACATTGAAATATTTTATTTATCCATTTATTTACTTAAGTAATAAATAAATGGTACAGAATCCATGTTAAATAAAAACAGAAAAGATGGACAGTACCATTCAAAAGTTTTGGGGTCGGTATATTTTTAAAAGAAGTGTTATATGCTCACTTATTCTATTTTAAAATCTAATTCATTTCTGTGATGGCAAAGCTGGATTTTCAGCATCATTACTCCAGTCCTCAGTGTCACATGATCCTTCAGAAATTATTCTGATATACTGATTTGCTGCTTTTTTCTTATTATTATCAGTGTTGAAAACAGTTGTGCTTCTCAATAAAAAACTGTAATGCATGTTTTTAAAGATTCTTTGATGAATAGAAAGTTCAAAAGAACAACGTTAATTTTAAACATTTTTTGTAAAATTATAAAATGATTTTACTGTCAATTTAATGCATCCTTGCTGACTGAAAGTATTAATCAAAATCAAACATTTGAATGGTACTGTAGATACAGTCAGGAACATTATAGAGTTCATGTTTACATTTATTCATTTATAATTGAGCATAACTTTAAAAATAGCTGTACTGCTTTGACATGTTTCTGACCATATCTACGTCTTTTCTGTTTTTATTTATCATGGATTCTGTTCCATTTATTGGGCAATAAATAAATAAATAAACTGTTGTGACACTACTGTACATTTAGTGACATCAGAGATTTTTTGTGGTGCTGAATAGGCTAAGCATCAGTATTTTTATTGCTCATACTTATTGATTTGAAAAATCCCCAACCCTCAGTATCAGACATCTGCGCATAACTTGCCCCGCACCACTTGTGCTACAGACGTGAATGATGTGTTTCAGCTATTGCTTTTAATACAGATCTTAGTCTCTCTTTCATTATGTTCTATGAACCCCCAAAATTGCCTGTGGTTCAGTTTGTATTAAAAATGTAGTTATACTAGTAGACATAGTCATTGCCTTGCCAGTGGGCAGAGCTAATGCTAATGCTCGAACTGATTAAATTCAGAAAGTTTCTTTAATGTTGTTTAGCTCTCTGCAGAAACCTGCTTGATTGATTATGCAAATGAAGAGGTCTCTCAATAACATTTGAATTATTTTGTTTACCTTTAGACACATTTTGAGAATAATAGCAGCTTTGGGAAATTGAAACCGCAGCCCGACATACAAATTAGGTCCCCGATACAAATTCCAGCTAAATTAGTTTGCATAAGACTAGTCTTTCATAATAGTGATTATAAATGATTGTTATTGAGAAGTCATACATTTTTTACATTTTTCGGATTTAAAACCATTGAATTATTCATTTGCAATGTAAATGACTTATAATCTCTTTTCCCTCATAAAAATAAATTATTCATGTCTCAATGAGTAACGTTTTTAGACAGTTGGAGTTTAATCGTTCAGTCTGCCTCCATTAAAATAACCTCTCAGCGCTGTTAGATGTATCACCTCGTGTGAAAGATATCATCTCTGATCTCCGCTAATCCTGCGAGTGTTTTGACTGCAGTTGATCTCTTGCCTTCCATGGTGGCGGATATCAGTACCCCAAAGCTTTATCTTAACAGACTGGCGCACTCTGACACCCTGCCGTCCCGACGCCGGTCTCATTAGCCGTTAGCCATCGCATCTGGTTGCTGCTCTTTGTCGGAGCTTCACTTGCTCTCTGTCAGAGATGGCCAGGGTCAGCCTCAGATCTGGAGGTGCTGCTGGGAGGCGGAGTCCGGGTCAGGGCTGCTTCTTTCTCTCCAGTCGCCTTTTAGAGCTCAAGGCTCAGCCGGTCCCATCTGAACAGCTGCGGGCCGGGGGCACATGGGTCAGGAGTACATGGTAGCCTCGCTTCCTACAACCCACCATACTAGAATCAGCTGACCTCTGTCCCTGCGACACTTGTTCAGGAAAGGTTAAAGTGGCCCGTCGTGCATGTTTCTGGCGCTCCCTGGACCGAGTTGATACCCTCAGGGCTGGGGGAGCAGCTGTGCAGGAAGCTAAAGCAACTCTTTAAACTCTTGTATGAAAGGGCATTTATTTCGTTTATTTACAAATGATGCTGCTAACATATACCAGGCATGCTCACGGGTGTAAAAAGCACTGAGGAATTATACTTGATGGACAGTATGGGACTCTACACAATTAAAAATCAATGTATCAAGCTAGAAACATGCTTCAGGGAAAGTATTTCTAAGTAAATTCATCAGTAATTCATCTCTTTATAAGGATGAATATAATCATGAATACAGTTACGTGAGCAAATTACATTTTATTTAAAACATTGAAGGAAGACTGACTTTTAAAAAAAACTTTTTTTAAAAGAATTTAATGCATTTATTTAGCAAGGTCGCATTAAATTAATCAAAAATGATGATGAAGACATTTATAATGTTATCAATTTTTATATATATATATATATATATATATATATATATATAAATGCTGTTGTTTTGAGCTTCCCTTTCTTCTGAACATCCTGGAAAAATGTATGACTGTTTCCACAAAAAAAAAATATATATATATTACTACATTACATTAATTATAATAAGAAATGTTTCTTAATCACTAAATCAGCATATTAGAATAATTTCTGAAGGATCATGTGACACTAAAAACTGGCGTAATGACTGCTGAAAATTCTAATTTTATTTTAAAATATATTCAGGTAGAAAACAGTTCTTTTGAATTGTAATAATATTTCACAATGTTTCTGTTTTACTGTATTTATGATTAAATGCAGCTTTGGTGAGTATAAGACTTATTTCAAAACATTATACTCACTGACCCCATATTTTTGAATAGTAATGTATATTTGTTTTAAAATAAGAATAGATTTACGTCATGATGAATATGTACTTGATACTTTGACTAAAAAGTATAATGTTTTCATTAGAAATGTAATTAAGTAGCAGTGCAAATATTTAGTTTCAGGTAAAGTAAACATTTCCCAAAACGATTCTTATTTGTATGAAGGAAGTACCATTACTCAAGTGATTTACACCCCTGAATGTGTTGGCCAGATGTCTGCATTTTGCTTGGAAGTGCCTGTGACCATTGATTGCTATTACGAAGAGAGGAAACTCTGTGAAATATATTAGTTTAGTGTTGAATATTAAATTATAGAAATAAATACAGAATGGCAGTTGAAATATTATATAACAATAGGTGTGATGTAGTCCAGTGTACTACTGCTTGTGACTTTAGCGTCTTCGTGAAGTGCATGTTTAGTCTGTAATGTGTATGAATGGTCATATCTGAAGCCAATACATATCTAATTTTGTAAGGCACTATGAGTTATAGATAGTGCACCATTTAATGCATGTGTTCAAATGCATGTCTGCATTGAGCTTTACTCCCTATAGTGTATATGTGTGAGTGTAACTGTGTGTGCGCATTGGGACGGTCAATACTGTCATGCCGAATAGAACATTGTATTCAAAACAAGCCCCCTAACATGATTAAGAGGGCCGATTCAATCTGAATGCTTAGTAGGAATGAATGATTCATTTAGTTATTAAATATAGCTCCAAGCGGCAATTAAAAGGGGGCCTGGCAATATGGCGGCCAGTGTCTCTAATTAGACGTGAGATCAAGCCATGACACATCATTTGTCACACCTGTGCAGTTCAACCAATGATACAGCTCATTCTACTTGTGT